TTTATCTTTTTTGATTGATGAGTAATATTCCATTGTGTATATGTACCACATCTTTTAAATCCAGTTTCTATTTTTGGGCTTTTGGGTTGATTCCATGTCTTCCTTATTATAAATAGAGCAGCAATAAACATGGGGATGCAAGATTCCTTTTGAATTGATGTTTTTTTTGACCTTTGGATAGATAATCTAGGAGTGGGATTGCTGGGTCATATGGAAGCTCCATTTTTGGCAGTTTGAAAAACTTCCAGTTTTCCATAGAGGTTGTGCCAGTTTGCATTTTCACCAGCAGTGTAGGAGAGTTCCTTTTTCTCCGCATATCTTCACCAACATTTGTTGTTGCTAGTTTTAATATGTACCATTCTCACTGGTGTGAGGTGGTATCTCATTGTGGTTTTAATTTGCATTTCCCTTATTAGAAGTTATTAGATGTTAAACATTTTTTCATATGTCTGTTGGCCATCTGCATTTCCTCTTTGGAGAAGTGTCTCTTTTAGTTCTTCTGCCCATTTTTGATAGTTATTCATTTATCTTTGTTGAATTTAATCAGCTCTTTGTAAATCTTTGTGATCAATCCTTTGTCATTAGGACTGACAAGTGCAAATATTTTCTCCCAATCAGTGGGGTGTCTCTTTGTTTTGTGTAGTGTCTCTTTTACTGAACAGAAGCTCTTTAAATTGATGTAGTCCCAGCTGTTTATCCTTCGCTTCACTATCCTTGCTTTGGGTGATGTATCTTTAAAGGTGTTATTGAGGTATATGTTGTGCAGTGTTTTGCCTACATATTCTTCTAGATATTTTATGTTTTTAGGTATTATGTCTAGTTCTACAATCCACTTTGAGTTGGTTTTTGTGAATGGTATGTGGTAGTAGTCCAGCTTCATTTTTTTTTTTTTGCACATAGCAGCCCAGTCTTCCCAGAACCATTTGTTAAACAAACTTTCTTTGTTCTATTGCAATTTCTTTGCTCCTTTGTCAAATATTAGCTGTCCAAAAGTCTATAGGTTTATATCTGGGTTTTCAATTCGAATCCACTAGTCTGTATGTCTGTTCTTGTCCCAGTGCCATGAAGTTTTGATTATTATGGCTTTGTAGTATAGCTTGAAGCCTGGGGTTGTGATGCCTCCAATCTCTTTCATTTTAGTTGGGAGAGTTTTGGCTATTTGAGGTTTTTTGTGGTTCCACATAAACCTCATCAGTATTTGTTCTATTTCTTTGAAGAATGTCAGTGAGTTTTTTATCGGAATAGTGTAAATCAGTATATTGATTTTGGTAGGATAGACATTTTAATGATGTTAATTCTTCCAATCCTCTCCTTTGATTTTTAAAGTCATGTTTGAGAGCGGTCATTTACTTGGACAGAGATAATACTTATGTAAAGGTGATTGCATACAAATATTAAAATACTTGACACACAATTTGAAGGGATCGGCAAAGGATTGGTAAACTTCTCCAAAGAAGATGAACAAGTGGCCAATAAGTGCAAAAAAACCAAAAAACAAAAAACTGCTCAACATCACTACAGCTTACTGAAATGCAAAGTAAAACCTCCAGGTTTGGGGTGATACCAACACATCCATTAGGGTGACCACTGTCAAAAACCTCAGAAGATAGCAAGTTTTGATGATGATGTGGGAAAAAAATAGAATCTTTATGCACTGCTGGTGGAAATGCAAAATGGTACAGCTGCTCTGGAAAATGGGATGGTGACTCCTCAAAAAAAACCAAGCACAGAATTCATGATCCAGCAATTCCATTTCTGGGAAAAGAAAAGAAAACAGGGACACAAATGGATATTTGTCCATCCATGTTTATAGCAGTGTTATTCACAACTGCCACAATGTGGAAGCAATCCAACTATCCATCAACAGATGAATGAACAAACCATAGCATGTGCATACAATGGAAAAATTATTCAACCTTAAAAAGGAAGGAAATCCTGCTATTTGTAACAACATGAACAAACCTTGAAGACATTATGCTACATGAAATAAGCCAGTCACAAAAGACAAACATTGCATGGTTTCACCTACATGAGGGACCTACGATACTCAAACTCCTAGAGCTCAGGGAAGTGGGGCAGGGGGAGAGGAGAGAATGGGAAGTTATTATTTAGTGTACAGAGTTTCAGTCTGATATGTCAAAAAAATCTAGCGGTGACAAAAAATTCTGTGGCAGTAAATATATTAACACATTAACCTGGTGCCACAGAATATAGACTTCAGAATGGTTAAAAAAAAAAAAAGGAAATTTTATGCTGTGCATATATTGCTACAATAAAACAAGTCTCCTGAAATCTTTATGCTAGTGGCAAAAATCATCAATATGCTAACTTTTCTTTATGGCACCGAGGAAGGAAAAAAATACATCGGAAGTACTGGCTGTGTGCTAGGTGCACACACACACACACACACGCAAGCAGGAACAAAACAAAACATAAAACCCAAATACCAAATCTTGATTAGACACTACACGCTATTAACCCTTGTTCACCAAGAAGAAACTGTTTTATGAGTTAACACTTAAGGTCAAGAATGATGAACAGAGGCAGGGTTCAAGGCAGATATGCCTGACTCAAAGCCTGCCTGCTTTTCACTCCATGTGGTTCTGTTCTTCCACCCACAGTTGTCTTTTTGAACAGCCTTTCTGCTTTGATTACAGAGCTATTATACTTAAAAGTTAGCCTGGCCTTCTGAAATAGGCTGAAAAAGTCAGTGGACCAAGCACATTCATTCCATGCCCACCACATGAGGCTCAGGGCTGGCCATGAAATAATGGACTCATGTTTCCACTCAGCCATTGGCCATATGGCAGGAAAAAAACCCATACAATTAAAATTTCAGCGATAGTCGACTCCCTTAAAAGCCATTGAATATCCTGAGCAAAAACATTATGCCTTTCACTGTCCCATATGGCTAGAATCAGGCTCCTTTCACTGTGTAGAAGCCTGCTCGTCTTTTCTTAAACATTCAACCAAGATAGTAACTGATCTGCTGCTGCTAATGTGCCTTCAGCTGGATTTTAACCATTAGGGAAATGTTTTGTGCCATGCAGAAAAAAACAAAAAAACAAAAAAACTCATAGTTTTCTGAAAAACAAAAAAACTCATAGTTTTCTGACTGTACTGTCTGTGTGGGCAAAGGACTCATTTTCTTCCTCTGGTTTGTTTTGTTCCTCTGGAACACACAGATAAGAATCACTCAGATAGTCTACACATCCCCAAACAAAGCATGAACACTGACTGTGAATGAGCAAGTACCAAGGGGTGAGTACTGTCCTTATTCACACAGTCTAGATTCCCAACTTTCTACTTACTAACTGGCAGTTTGATCCAGTACTCCAGTCTGGAATGGTTCCACATCTGCAGGAGATGTCCTCTCTGAGAAGTTTATCTTTGCATGTTTTACTTTAGGGGTCAAACAGGAAGTGGACCCATGAACTATGTGACATGACTTGTTTTATCCACAGGTTCAATTATATTGCACAGTTTTGTCAGGGGAGCACCGCACTTTTGACATCAGTGATAGTTCACCTCTTAGATCTAATGCAGGTTTATTTTAATGAGCAATATAGCTAATAAAAGTAGACATTTCTTTTTTTCCTTAGGACCTATAAAAAGCTTACCTCTGAAAATGTGCTGTTACACTACAGATTTTGAGACACCAAATCAATGTCTAAAGATGGTATTAAAAGCCCAACAGTTATTCACAAATGAAAATGTGATAAATGAGAAGGCATATACACTCCAACTGGTATAGTGTTTAAAAGCCTGTATTTAAGTATCTGTGTCTAAATAAAATGCTATTTCTTTTACTCCTTTATAAACAGTTCTTTTTTCCTTTGAAAAATTATCCTCTCTCATTCTAAAAACTCTAGATAAAACCTTATCAATGACCATTTATGGCATAACCTCACTTTCTGTTGGAGACAAACCTTAATTCTAAAAATCATGCTACGCTAGCGTATTAAACTCTTTCTCCTATATATCCTGCCAAAGGAATCTTATAATCACATTTCCAAGCCACTGGACTGATTTTGCATTTTTACATATCATTCATAAATATGAACACATCGTGGTCTCTCACTAAGGGTTGGGGGGGGCTCTCATTAAGAGCGTCCATTGCTCAAGAAAATCAAAGAATAAAAATCACATGATTTTACTATTTCCCTCTATGTGTGGTATATACAGGCAAAGAACAACCCAGTTCCACTTTTACATTTCATCCTCACTGAGATTAATGGGCTTCTTAACCTAGCCACTAATCCAATCTATCTGAACCTAAAATCCATATATACATACCAGGTATCTGATTCTGGACAAGTTAAACCAACCACACACTCCTTTAAAAAAGGATGCAACTTTAGGATCAGACCTACTGGCAAAGGGTAGCTCTCTCCGGGGTTATCCTGAAAGCGGCTACACAGAGCCAAGGGAGGAGGACACCGGTTTTTTAATGGTAAATACTGCCCCTCACATACGCAATTCCAGGCTTTGTTGGCAAATTCTGAGTACAAAAGGATTTTAACAGCAGCAGCAGAAAAAGAGAGTGAAAAACGAAAGGAAAGCCAATTCACAGTCATTATGCTGCAAAACAGAAGACACCCAGAGCAATGTTCAAGAAAGATAAAATGATTAGCATTTTACACCACTCACACTGGAAAACAGCAGCCTGCAAGGCTCAGAAGATCAGTCCCACAGCTTCACAGCCCCAACTGATTTCAACTCAGCCCTGCCTTTCTAGCAAGACAACTATGCAAACAGCTTGTTACCTTCGGCGTGTTTTCCTGACGAGTCACCAAAGCTAAATACCAATGCCGATTTTTTTTCAAAGCCAATGTGTCACGAATGTGATCGTTCTCAAAAGCCCTTCTCAGAGAATCCATCCCAATCATTTCTCCCCATCCTGGAGCCCCTACCCTCCCTCAGAAATCTGGTCTCAAAACCACAGGTGATGATCGTTTCTTTCACTTAAAAAGGAGCAACGTGAAAAGCGTTTCCTTTACCTTCGCTCCTGAGGTTGGGCAGAGAAGAGTGGCGTTTCTCCTCTCTCTGGAGCTGCCGTGTGGAGGTGAGCTCCGGCTGAACCGCCCGCCCGCCCGCCCGCCAGCCCTGCCCAGCCCAGCCCAGCCCACCCCGCGGTAGTAGGAGCTACCCACGGAGCGGCAGCGGCTGTGTGTATGTGTGGCGCGGCGCCTGCAGCCCAGGGACTGCCTAGTCCCCACCCAGCTTTTGTCTTCAATCATCGCTTTTACAGGAAGCAGCGCATCCCTCACTTCCTCCTCTTTTGGTAACCCTTGGCTGCTTTCTTCTTCCTTCCCATGCTCACTCTAGGAGTCTCATCGTCTCCTGGTTACTGACACTAATTTGACTAGAGTTCCTTGTATCCCTTTGTTCCAAGTCCCGTTGGTACTGTCTTTTCCTTCCTCCCCTTCTCACTGCCTCACCCTCACCTCCTCTCCACAGCGCCTTGCAGCTAGCTGCCTCCTTGATTCCGTCCCCCCCACCCCCCACAGTCCGCTTTCTTAGCATTGAATGTTGTTGCTGCTGCTGCTGTTTTGGGGTCTGCTGCCCGTGGCCAGGTTTTTGCCCTGAGACGCAGCAGCAGCCTCCAGGAATGGTCCGATTTACTCTGGTCCCTCTCAGTGCAGCTGCCAGGGAGCTTGCAGTGTGTGGCGTCTTGTTGCAGCATTTTTCTCTGTGGCCAGCATTACAAATGCGTTATTCCAGGGTCTCACTACCTCTGAGATCTTACTTAACCCTCATGCTCAGAAAAGATGGCCCTAGTAGGGTTTTTTTGTGGGTCACAGAAGCTAAACCAAGCCCTACAGGGCTACCTGTAGCCTAGTAGTGAAGACATATTCCTAAAAGATTCTCAGTGGTGGGAAGAACTAGGTGATGCTGAATGCTGTATATTCATAGCCCAGAAATAGAATCCTTTCTCCACAGGGGAACAGCCCCTGACCCTCTAGGCTTTTTCCTTTGATCCACGTGAAGATATTCGAGTGTTCTGGGCTAGGGTACAGCCTGCAAGCAGTCTGTCTGCTTAGATTGGACTCCAATTTCCCATGACTGCCCATATCATTTTAGGAAAATTATTGACTTTTGTAATCTCAATTTCCCCATCTGTACAATGGAGGTGATTATACCCCACAGTAGAAATCTGAAGATTAAGTGAGATGCTACATAAAATGTTAATAGTTCCTGGAGCATAGAACTGTTCAATACATATTAGCTCTTAGTTTCAGAGGACAAGGGAAACACAGAGATAGCAATTCAGTGCCACCAGGACCAGTGATTGGCTTCCTGATTTCCCACGGGTTATATATTCACATTAAACCCTGATGCTCCTGGTGACAGTTTGTTCAACTGGTGAGTCATTTTCTGCAATGTCAACTGCAGGTAGTTAGGGGAAGCTGGGCACAGAAGATCCTTTCTCTATGCGTCTAAGAAATAATGTTAAAAAAACTCTCCTAAGTATATAGGGCAACAGTTTATTCCCCACCTCACCTTTTAAGTCCAGCGAGTTAATGCACAGAAATATTAACAATCTAGGGCTGATACAGATATTCAGAGAAGTGATCAGTTAAGCCCGTCTAACACACTTTGGGGATCATAGCACATCAACCTAGAAAGCACCAAATTTAATTTCTAAGAAGTGTTCTGAGACAGTCTCAGGATATGCTTTGATTTGATTTGATACTCTATGAACAGTTTATTTCTTCCTGGGCATCTTTTATAAAAAAGGACACTGATGTCAACACACTGATATCAACAAATTACAAAATGGATTGTTTTTAAGATTAAAAATAAGGTACTACGTTTGAGCCACTGGAAAATAGAATTGCAGTGAGAGGGGACTGGATGTAGATTCTCATAGTCTCCTGCAACCCACAAATGGAAATTCAGGTGCCAAAGGTTACCAGACTCTTCAGTAAAAATTAATAATTTTGTGTATGTGCACACACACACGTGCATATAAAGTACCAAGGTGTTTTGTTTTCTTTAAATCTCCTTTTCTCATACTCTATCATCAGAAAATGGTTGGTACTTATCTTTGAGTCTGATCTCTTTCAGGCAACAAAATCTCTAAGAATTAGGTCTGCTGTTTTCTAATTGGTTCTTCTATCTACCCTATGATCATTATAAAACCCTCAGTAGGTTGGTCTGCCTGTTGCTGAGATGTGCGAACCAACCTCTCTTCAAAGGTGAAAAATAGATTTAATTTTTTTTCTCTTCCTCAATAAAATCTCATTGCTTGCAACTGATCTTTTTATTTAAAGCATCCTTTTCAGGGAGAGAGGAAAAATGTGGTTTGCCCAGGAGAAAAAATCAGTTCAGAACTCTTAACACCAGTGTGGTTAAAAAACACACACACACGCACGCACACATATTAAGTTCATTCTTAGGACATATAATTATATCTTACTAGTAGTGGTTCACACCATCAATTACTAAATATGAGCCTATACGAGATATATCTTATCAATACATAAAGCAAAAAGCCTGTAAATAGCACTCACCAGTATCCCTAGTTGCAGGCATTGATGCCATGTATTTTAAACATCTGCCTGGTAAAAGAGATTGATCATAATAAAGACACCATAACTTTGGCCTGATATCGCTTCTGCATGTTTGAGCATTCTAGCTGGATGTTCCTGGAGCTCCTTGATACTAACATTCCTTATATATCACCTTCTCCAAAATCTGTTTCTATATTCTCCACTTAACAAGGAATGCAACCGCTTGCACACAGCAGGAATGTATGAATGACAGCACAACAACTTGTTTTTTAACCTTATATCTGATATAAATTTCATCTTTACACTCCCACCACTAAACTATTCCTTTGACCAAACCCTCCTCTACATTTACCCTTGTTACTGTCTTATTACATAAACACTACAGTTCCCCCTACATGGTTGCGATGGTCCGTACCTTTACCTCCAAGTCTTCTAATTCTTGCCTCTGGAAGTACATTTCTAAAATGAAGAACTGATCATGTACTACCTTGTTATATAATTTTTCAGTATTTGTTCTTCCCCTATAAGTCTTAATTCCTTTGCTTGTAATGTAAGCCTTCCATGATGTCACCCAATTGCACTCAAACCTTTTTATCTAACCTGCTGCAAGCGCACACCCACCCACGCCGTATCTAGTAGCATGGCAGTTTTCTCATGAAGCTGGGCTTTTCCCTGCACCTCAGTATGTGCTCTGCCTTGGCCCTTATCCCTCCCTCTGCTATCTGCTGGTGAGCCCACGGAGCCTTTAAGACTCAGAAGCCTTCCCTAACCATGCAAGCAGAGCCAGTAGTGCACCGCACTGTGTCTCTTCACTTCAACACTAACTACAGTGTTTTAATGAGGTACAGCATGTTCCTCTTATTCCATATTTTAGGCCCATAAGGTTAGGGTCATGTTCTAATCATCTTTGTCACGTCACATAGCAAGTAGTTAACAGATGTTTGTATAGTGAAAAGGCATCATTGGCAGAAAATTCTAAACTGCTTTTGTATTCCTCTGTGTGCCTGGGGTGTGAGAAAAAAGGAAGTCTCTTACATGAGAAGTTGGTCATGGGATAAGAAATAAAAATCCCTCTACTTTTTGCAAATTGTTGCAAAAAACCATGATACATGCACATCATGTTCTGAATGTTTGTTATGTAGAAAATGCTAAAGAGTCCTGGGGCAACTCCTGGTTCTGTTTCTGCACAGAATTGCTTATAAAGAACAGTCTGGCAGCAGAATGTAATTTAAAAATAATTTTTGAGAAGAAACAGAAAAAAGAGTTAGCTGTTCTTTACTTGTATTTCTGGATGAACTTTAACTTATGAGCCAGAAACACTTCACATTCCCTTCTGTACGCTCTAGTTTTGCCACCTCACAGCTGCCCCGAGCCTCTCCTATGACAAATCCCAAAACTCTTCCTCTTGTCTCTCTCTTTTTTTTTTTTTTAAAGATTTACTTATTCATACAGAACTGGGGTACAGGCCAGCGATGTG